TTCAAAAAATTCTGAAAAACACATATGTTATGGAGAAACATAAACTAAACAATATTTACCAAGGCACTACATCCAAATTCTTTACCAAATTTGAATTAAAAATCAAAAACAGAAAATAAACACTACGATAAAAATAAGAAAAAATAAAAAGAGAATTAAAATGAGTGAGTGTGCCAGCACCTTTTCGACATCGCCATCTTTGCCGATTTTTAATTATTTTCTGGCATTGACAAATGCCCTGAAAATTTACAGATATGTAGTTTACATTATCAATAACTCATGAAAATGTTTTCAGAAAATATTATTTTTTTATAGGTCCCGTAATAAAGTAAAAACAAAAAGTAAAAAGTAAAAAAAAAAAAAATAGTGAGTGGGCTAGCACGTTTTGACACCCCCATATTTGACGATTTTTAATATTTTTTGGCCAAGCAAAATAGCTTCAAAATTTATAGACGTGCAGGTTACATCATAGAGAACTCACAAAAAAACAATTCAGAAAAACAAACTTATTTTTAGACCTCGAAAAGTTTTTTGGCGGGGGTCGAACCCAAAGGTGTTCGGCCCCCGAACGGGACCCCGAATGCCCGAACGTTCGGGGGCTAGCCCGGGGGCCTCCGAACGTTCGGTCAGGTAACCCTGAATATATAAATATATTTATATGGTTTAATCATTTTCGAAATCTATACATGTTTTGTTCTCAAGTCAACTGTGTTATGACATGCATTGTGTTTGACATGCTGACGTGTGTTTTAGTCTAAATGCTTGCAATAACCTGCTATTACGTGTGTGAACACTTCTGGAGTCGCTTACCAAAAGGGGTGAGCACATGATCATCAAAGAACGACTGAGAATTTTGCTACGACTTTCAGTTTCGAAACTTGTACACGAGGTGCGAGCGAGTGTCATTCTCCAGTCATTGGACGTAACAGCGACCACTATTGCAGTTAGAAAAATTGCTATTCCACGATGTCGAGCGATCAGCGGGATAACCAAGGTCAGGGAAGCAGTGGGGATAAGAGGTCGAGGAGGGACCCTATTATCTGCTTCGCCGGTGGTGATAAAGGGCATTATGCCAACCAGTGAAGGAATCCAAAACCGGGTTGGCGTGGAGGGAGAACTTCGACGTCATCAGACTTTAGGAGGCGTCGCTCGCTTTCTCATCGGAAGCACTACAGGGGGTCGAGCTCGGACGATAGGAAAGTGCGATCCCAGATGAAGAAACTCGGCAAGAACTTGGAGACGGTGATGGAGTACATTGAGGCAGAACTTGCAGCAAAAGAGGCGAAAATCCGACAAAAGGTTGAGAAAAAGGAAGATGAGAAGCGTGAAAAGGAAGCAGCAGAAGCGAGGGCAAGAAAAGTCAGGAAGAAAGCGGAAAAGGCGAGATTGGAAGAGAAAAGAGTAGCTACAATGAAAAAAAATATGAATGTACGTATAAAACTGACTGTGAAGGATGTCATGCAAAACGCTTGGCAGAACTCCGAACTCCGTGATGCGTTAATAGCAACGAAACTGGTCAAGAAAAAGAAGGGTAAGTAGAAAGTTCAGTATATCAGCGATGATGAAGTTTTTTCAGATTATGAGTTCGTGAGTAGAGGTACCGAGGAAATTCGAGAAAGGACGGAGAGCTTGACTATCCATAAGAAGAGGAAGAGAGGATTCGAACCGGTCTTCAACGATAGTCCACCAATAGAACTATCGCCGAAGAGGACGGTGAAACGTACCCCTAGACGCGGGATCATGAAGCCTGTTAAGCTGGCAACGAGATTGACGAGATCGAAGACAAAACCGAAAGTCAAGTTGTCACCAACAACCAAGGAGAAATTTGCTTCAGATGTGAAGAAAACGATCCCGGCGAGCATCGGAGTTATCGGGAGATACAAATATCGAGATGAAGTGATGAAGCAGATCAAGTACCACGATGAGATCACATTGCAGAATCTCTGCAATGAGGAAGGTATTCTATACAACGGGAAGATTGAGGCGATCTTCGATTTGGCTGACCATCAAACCTACATCGCATATGGATCGGAGGATGAGAAACAAGATGTGGTTGAGGAATAAAAGAACGACGAGGAGGCAGCGAATCCTGAGAACGCCGAATAAACCAAGGTGGAAGATAACTTATGTGGCTACAGTATCGCCGAGTATTGGAAGTGATGTAGAATTTTGGTTGACCTGCGAGGTAAGTAGGGTAAGTATGACCACAAATTTGAAGAGCTCCTGTGATTGGTAGTAATGAGACTATCCATTGTCGGATGCATCCGCTGGAATAGGAAGTGTGTGGAGACATGGTTGAAGTTGTACGAGAAATATGGTGTAAACTTTATTAACTTGAAGAATATCGTGTATATTGCGGTATCACTGTATTGTCGTGCACAGTACATCAGGAAGACTTGTCGGGATGTGAATGTACGATGGGGAGAGCACCTGTATACTTGTAAATCAAAGACGTTGACACATTTTTACCGTTGGATGAACTGCTATGGTAGTAAGAATTCGTGTTGATCCCTATTGATAGTTTGGGTGAAAAGGATTTGGTGGATTTAGAATTGATGTATATTAAGCAATGATCGATTTTCCTGAATACGTCAGGATCGAGGAAGAAGGGTTGTAAGAAGGGAAGGACAAGAAAGGGTGCTAGAGAGAGGCGTAAGCGGAACTCACAGCCGACCAGGGCTTGCATGATAGTATCCCCAATCCGCTTTACTAGTAAGAAGCTTGACAAAACGTTCGTCAATCTATGTGACTTTTGAAGAACTGTATATCACTTGGTCACCGAACCTTTGATCTTTGCTCTGAGGGTGGTAATACGTGGCACACGCCTTGGAAGAAGATTAAGAAAATGTACGGTAAGAGTAAGATTACCTTGGAAGGTAGGGAATTACTCCTGAAAAAGGCAAAGAATTTTTTTGAGTCCGGAGGGTTGTTCACAGTGAATCACTTGGTTGAGTGGAAATCATATTGCCACGCTTTGAAGGCTGTTCGTCTCGGGATCTTGAGAAATTTGAGGTAAGCCTACAAGAAGTGTATGTTTGGAATCTACGTTCTGTTTTGCGGTTGTATGGGGTTGTGAAGAACTTTAGCCGAAAATCTACTCGGAAGTACCTGCGGCGTTTGCTACAGAGAGTGGTTAAGGATTGTTTTGGTTTAAGTTTGAGTGCTCATTTGGTTGTACGTGTTCAGTTTGATGATAGAATTCGGTTGTCTGATTGAGGAAGTTGACCAACGATTTAGTAATGGAATGTGATTTACTAGTTTGTTTTAAGGCACGTGCACGAAAAAAAATCCGACTTATCTAGATGAAGAACCAGTCAGTAAGGGATATTATGTATAATTAGAGGCATTTTGCCTCTCGTGAAGTGCTAACCTGCAATTGTGTAGGTTTACCTTTCCCTAAGGAGGAAGGTCACATGTGCTTTCGCCTTATTACGTTGTGCGTTTCTCAACCATTATTGAGAAACGCGAAAAATGTACCCATTCAGGTCGTTGGTAACAGGGTCGACCTGCTCATGAAGGAAATTAATACACGTTTTAGCCAGTGGGCCAACTATTCGGGTAAGACGATTAAGATTGAGAGGAGTGATGTGGATAATTGTTTTTTGGAAAGAGAGACTGGTTGTTTGGCATACCTCACTATGGAAGAAGTGCAGAAAGTAAAGAGTGATTTAGATGGCCTAGTTTGTACTCCAATGGATCGCAAAACAGAGGAAACACTGGTAATGTGCCCGAAGGTATACTTTGATACCATGACGAGCACGTTTGTGCTGAACAACAGATATAGTATCATGACAACGAACGAGGTGTTAGTTTTGAATGCGATGGGGGAAGATGTGCATGCTGCTGGTTTGACGAAGATGGTGAAATGGGATAAGAAATGACATATTGGCACGACCTATGTGCTACCTAAGCAAAAAGATGTGAGTAGGTTCATACCAATTTGCCCCACCATTAGTGAACCGACTGTGTGGACTGGGAGATTGATTGTGAAGAGTTTGAATCATCTGCTATTCACATTACCATGTGATTGACACTTCAACATGCAGACAGTTAGCCATCTCGTAGACCGACTATCAAGGATCAACCAAGTGGCGGGAAGTAAAAGAAAATTGACGGACATGTCAGTAATGTCTTTTGACATTAAAGAAATGTTTAGCCGTCTCCCTCATGCGGATATCATGAAGGCTTTTGTATGGATTACTGAGTACCATATGAGCAAGGGAAGAGAGTTCGTGAGAGTCAACACCAGAGGTAGAGGGTGCTCTTTCGGTTCAACAATAAAAGGTGACCATTGGAAAAGGTTGAAATTGAGTGAGTTGCTGAAATTCATGGAGATTGAACTTCGGCGTACGTACACTTATGCGACTGGCATGCCGCTGAAACAGGAGATCGGGATCCGGATGGGAAAAAGCACCAGTCCTCTTTTGGCCTTCATTCTGTGTGCGCATGTTGAGTTCAAATTTTTGAAAAGTCTGGGTGCAATGCGGATTAACGTATTCGGTGTAAGGTTGATCGACGATGTGACTCTCTTTGTGCTGAATGGGGGAAGGGATTTGTCAAGGAAAATTGAACAAGTTTTTCGAATATGTCACCCTGTCAATCTTTCTCTGAAGAGAACGGATGATGCATCCGGTCATTTCAACTTTCCGGATTGCGAGGTCCGTACTGAAAAATCATACGCATACGTGGGTTATGTCCAGATGTCGAGGAACGAAGAATGTATGTGGAAGACTGACACGTTGGATTTTCAAACCGGTCAATCTTTCCTGTCATGGGGTTGCAAAAGGTAAAAAAATACGATGGTGGCAAGCTATCTACATAGGATTAATAGGAACACATTCATCCGTTCAGAGATTCCAATGAGGGTGACCAGTCAAAAGGAGTTGAGGCTGAAAGGATCATTTTGAAAATTTATGCACGCTTTCTTCTCAAGTCCACTGTGTTATGACATGCATTGTGTTGTGACATGCTGACGTGTCTTTTGGTCTAAATCCTTGCAATAACAAAAAAACGGCATTCGGGATGGGCCGAACGCCCGAACGTACGGGACCCCGTGGGGATGTATTCAGTCGTTCGGACTGAACACGAAAAATATATATATATATATATATATATATATATGACGATATATATATATATATATGTGAAAAAGAAAGATAAAATAAACAACATTTGTTTGGTCATTACATTCAAATTCCTTACCAAATTCGAAATAAAAATAAAATATGAAAAATAAACACTAATAAGAAAAATAAACAAAAATAAAAAAAGAAATTAGAGAGTTAAAATTAGTGAGCGCGCAAGCCCGTTTTCGATACCGCTATCTTTGGCGATTTTTTATTTTTTTTGACATATCCAAATGCCTTGAAACTTTATACAGGTATGCGTCAATTAATAAAAAAACTCATTAAAAAAAATCAAAAAATAATAAAATTGTTTAGGCCTCGAAATAAAGTGAAAATAAAAAGTAAAAAGTGAAGAAAAAAAAACGTGTGAATGGGCGAGCACATTTGGATACCTCCATCTTTGAAGATTTTTCATTTTGTTTTGGTAGAGCAAAATGACTTCAAAATTTACAGGCATGTACCTAACATTATAGAGAACATAAAAAAATATTCAGAAAAAAAAATATATATTTTTAGATACCAAAATAATTTTTGTGGGGTCCGAACCCCTTCAGGTTCAAACCCCGAACGAGACCCCGAACGCCCGAATGTATGGAGGTCCACCCGGGGGCCTTCATACGTACGGGTGAGTAAACCTGATTACAGGTATATAGTCTAAAAATAATTTGATTATAGATCAAATATATATAGTATACATGATTTTTGTAATGATTCAATGTTTAATATTTGTGGAGCATATTTCAAATGAAGTTTAATTATTTTTGTTTGTTTTTAAATAAAAAAATAAAAAAGTGCTCTGTGTTAAACAACAATCATACGAATTTATGACCAAGAAAAAAACAATGTTTCTAACTCCTATAACGTCATTTTTTTTGTGACTGCCATGTGGCGGAATATGTAACCACTCACCACATGCCGGATGGTCCTTTCTGTCTTCATTTTTTTTTTTTTTCCCACTCTCTCAACTTACGTGACTTGGCGCAAGGATCATGTTCAATTTTTAATTATGACGCGTCTTATACGTCACTCGCTTCACCAACTTCATAAATAGCCTTAAATGTTGGTGCGACATACACAGACCTTGCGTACCCCACATGACCAAATTTGTCTCTCTCTCTTCATGACCCCCTTTCTCTATCTCTCTGTGACTCTTCCTCCCTCCCTCTCTCTCTACCTACGAGCAGTCAACCGTTAATAGGTCCTCCCTTCGCCATAATCAACTTCGACACCGCCTTCCTTTTCGGACGTCGTGTCATTAAAGATAAAATAACGTTTTTTTGATGCTTACAACGACACTTAGCGTTACAAACCTCGTTATTCTTAAGTCGTTTTCACAGAGTTTCCAAAGTTGTTCCTCTTCTTACTCCACGTTCTTTAGAGATGAAGATAATGCCTTCCTCTTCCTTAACATCTTCTTACGCTGACGCACCGACAATGATAGGTACATGACTTACCGCATGTCACATCAATCTGACATACATCCTCGTTTGAGGTTTTGACCCTCTCCCACAAGCTAAAAATGTGCGCTGTGTGTGTGTGTGTGTGTGTGTGTGTGTGTGTGTGTGTGTGTGTGTGTGTATGTGCATGTGTGTGTGTGTGTGCGT